AGTTCTCTAAATATCGGCCCTCTTTCTCAAGTTTCAATGCGGTTTACTGAAGTACGCACCATGAGAGCAGACAAGTTATCCCTATTAGCTTCAGCAGCCTTCTTTAATTCTTCAATATTGATGTTTCCCTTTGAATCAGTTCCAACAACAACGATTTTCATCCCACACATAGCAGCACTCGCAGGATTGGTTCCATGTGCCGAAACAGGTATGATACACACATTGCGATGATGGTCTCCTCTGGCCTGCAAATTTAATGGGTAAGCATAATCAGTTGAGGAATTTGCTTCTTCTCTCTTGTTTAATTTTTTTAGATTCTTTCCCTTATTTAATTTGTTAACTTGAAATGTTAAGATTTATACTAAATATTTTATACATCTCTTTCCATTTAGAATTTTATTCCAAGTGCAAAACGACAAAGGCCGCTAGAAAGTCAAAAAAGAAATTACAGATTCAAGGAGACAGGATTACTTCAATTAATTCTAGACATCGTTCAACCAGAAAGTTGATGGCAAACAAATGCTATATCATCAAATACATTTGAGAGACAATACAAGTAATCTGGAACAGCAATCCAGATTGCAACGATGGATAAAATATAAGGCCTTGTTAGAAGATGCAAAAAATAAATCAGACCCTTTTTATTAAAAAATTGAGAGCCAAAACTGATGTAGCACATTGGATAAGTTTTAGCAAAAAAATTCACAATCCACAATCACTAGGATTGACGACAGCCATAATCATACAATTCTCATACTGAAATCATAACCGTACAATTCTCATACCGAAATCATAACATTGTTAGGCACTTAAAGAATGAGAAAATATCAATAGGTTTTATTCACAAGCAGTCTTCCAAATAATGTGGAACCACTCGTGTATTTACAGAGTGCTTAATAAGCTATTTTAGTAGTTCCCAGATAAGCTAACCTTGTGCTTCTTTCAAACATATTCTAGTCCGATTCAACTCTCTTATCTTAGTTATCTGATATATATAAATTAACATAATTTAGATATTTGATGTATAGCCGAATAAACATCACTTATATTTTCAAATTCACAGCTATGGATTTATACCCCTACCTGTCCAAAAAGGAATCACAAAAATACTTAACTTGAATTGGACATAAAATTGACTTATAATTAGAATGTCTTTTCAATAAATTTATGTCCTATTTTATTGTGTTCCTCTTCTTAGCCATGAAATTGAAATTTAGATAAAAAATACTTTAAATAATACGTATAATTATAGTTAAGTAAATATATTTCATAATAGTTAAATTTGTCCATTCTATAATCTTTTGTGCTGCATCATAAACTAGGATCAGAAAAATTTGAAGCAAAGTATGGCTCATGTTAATCAAATGATAGTCAACATAATATCTCTTTGCAGCAACGTCAACTCAAAGATGCTCACTAGTGACACTAAAATAAGACTGAGACCGCACTCAAGCTTTCTGGAACAAAAAGATGAGAACATATTTGGTGCGAGAAGTTAAAGAAAATGATAATCATCAACTTACCCTATGATATGCCCGGATAACCATCAGTCCTGCATATTCACCAGCAGCACCAGCATTAGGTTGCAATGAGAAAGAATCAAACCCAGTAATGGTACACAGGAGGTCTCCCAAATTGTTGAACATTTCCTAACAAAACCATACTCAATCAAGTCAAGGAAAACAGCTACTTCATACATATGACATTAAATCAGTTCTTCCAAAATCCTCGATGAAAATAAATATTAATAACTAATTACCTGATAACCCTGAGCCTGCTCAATAGGAGCAAATGGGTGAATATTAGTGAAGTTTGGCCATGTTACAGGCATCATTTCAGTAGTTGCATTCAACTTCATCGTACAAGATCCCAATGGAATCATACTGTGGCAAAGTGATAGATCCTTCGACTGTAACCTATGAAGGTATCTGAGCAACTCGTGCTCGGTGTGATATCTATTAAGAAACAGCCAAAAGTCAGAATGGATCTTAGTTGCCAGGTGACTAAAATGTAAGTTTATGGGAGGGCTTATACGTGTTAAAAATAGGGTGGGTCAGAAAAGAGCTCTCTCTTGCCAGACCAGAAGGGATTGCAGTCTGAACTTCGGATGCAATAGATGCTGTAGTGAAGGGGACCTAACAGTAAAAAAAGAAGGTTCGGGTCAGAAAGTGCCTAACAGTGAACATCATCAGCGCTAGAAGGATTACAAACACTCACAGGTTTGCCACAAGCGAAAACTTTGAAAAGCTTATCAACATCCTCCAAAGTGGTTGTCTCATCAAAGGAAACAGTGATCTGAAAGAAATTAAACCTCCTATTACCTCATGGTGTGGAACTAATATCAACAAATCAATCCTAAAGGCAAAACTTATACTCACAGTGTCTGAGTCTACAATCCGCAAATTAATCTCATTTTTGTATGCAACATCAGCAATTGCATGAGCATCAGCACACTTAACCTTCACAGTATCAAAGAAGGGAAGACCTTGAACTTCCACTGTTCCAAGTTTCTTGAGTCCCAGTGCAAACGTCCCAGCAAGGCCATGGACGCGTTGGGCAATGGATTTTAGGCCTTCAGGTCCATGATAAACAGCATACATAGCCGCCATGTTCGCAAGTAATGCCTAAAAAATATACTAGCTTAATCAATGAAAGGGAAAACTCACTGTGAGAATAAAAGCAATCAAGAAACTTGTACAATAAGATATTCATGAATGGGTTCATGACAAGGATTTGAAATAGAATTCTGGTGTTTTCAAAGTCCAACCTCCATAAAACAATTCTTAATGAAACTAAAGATATCAGGAAACTGGTAGTGTCTTACTTGAGCAGTGCAGATGTTGCTAGTAGCCTTATCCCTGCGGATATGTTGCTCCCTAGTCTGCATGGCCATACGAAGAGCACTCTTGCCCGAGGAATCAACACTGACACCGATAATTCTACCAGGCATCAACCTCTTGTACTCTTGAGAGGTGGCTAAAAACGCAGCATGAGGACCTCCATACCCCATAGGCACTCCAAACCTCTGGGCTGAGCCAACAACAATATCAGCCCCAAGTTCACCCGGCGGCTTCAACATTGTCAAGGCCAACAAATCTGTTGCCATAACAACCTTTACCCCATTAGCATGAGCAGTTTTAATAAACTCCCCATAATCCAATATTTCTCCCTCAGTGCCAGGATACTGAACTAAAACCCCACAAACATCGCCAGACTTGTAATTGATGTCCTTCAAGTCGGCAGTAACAACATTAAGATTAAAACCACCAGCTCTAGTCTTGCAAATATCAATTGTTTGTGGGTGACAATTGTTTGCAATAATAAATGTCTTCTTTTTCCCTTTGAGTATGTTATTACACATAGCCATTGCCTCAGCAGCAGCTGTCCCCTCATCGAGCAAGGAAGCATTAGACATGGGCAAGCCAGTGAGATCCGTAATCATGGTCTGGTAATTAAGCAGAGACTCAAGACGACCTTGAGATATCTCAGCCTGATACGGGGTATACTGAGTATACCAAGCGGGATTTTCCATTATATTCCTCAAAATCACAGGTGGAACATAAGTATTGTAGTAGCCCATCCCAATATATGACTTGAAAACCTTGTTTTTTGATGCTAAACTTTGCATGTGTTCAATCATTTCGCTCTCGGTTAAACCCCCATCAAATTTAGAGAACTTCATTGAATCAATACGTATAGATTTAGGGACTGTAGCATCAATAAGCACATCAAGATTATCAAACCCACATGACTCCGCCATCTTGGTTTGCTCTTCTGGGGTTGCAGAGTTATGCCGGCGAGGGAAAGTATCACTCCGCTTCAAAGCCTCAATAGATATAGACCGAATTTGCGGACCAATACCACCACCATAACCAACACCATTTCTTGTGGGTAATACATCTGATCTACCATTTTTAGAAGCAAACGGTAAGAGAGAAGACACGTACCTTGAAGGAGTGTACAGAACAGGGGAGGAGGAGTTCAACAAACAAGATTCATGGTTGCGGGATCTCTTAGACTCGTTAACCAGGCGTTTGAAAATCGCCCGGTTCGCCAGTCTCCTTGCACGTTCCATGGAATGAAGACCAAGGAAACAGAATCCAAAAGAGGAAGAGCAAAATGGGGGTTGCCAAGGAGGGACAACAAAAAGAGAGGTTAATAAAGATTTAAGCTTTGTCCCATGAAGATGGTGGGTTGGTGGTGGTAATGCGCAGGAGGATTTGTCTGTATACTTATAATAAAGAAATACAACATGTATACTGTATTTATATGTGCATTTTAATATTATTTACAATTTAAAAAACAATTCTTTTTGAAACCCAAAAAAAGAAAATCACGTCTTTGAGATCTGGTGGTAGGCGGAGCGGGTGACTGGGCACCTATGAAGAAAAAGACAGTAGTTTTGAGGATATAAATATTTATGTACTGCAAAAACAAAAACTTACAGAATTTGCATGGAAGAAAATGAAGGAAACCAGATTGAGATTCAGTGGATCACAACGCGTTTCATTTCATTCAAAATAATATTATTAGATTTTATTTATTTTGTGTGTAAAATTTTGATGTTCTTGGTTGGCAGATTCTCTTTCACAATCTGCTTATCTCCATGTCTCACCTCAAACACGCAGCAACATGAACCAATTAGAAAGAATAATGTTAAATTACACTTTTATCCTTCACTTTAATCTTATTTACACCCATATTATGTAATTTTAATTGGGATTTGATGTTTATTAAATAGTTTGGATTTTTTTTTTTTTTTTTGCATCACATTTTATGGGAACCATCGCTCTCGTGATTAAAAAATTACATTGATTTTCTTTTTCTTTTTTTGGAATCTTTTGATTTTTAAGTTCCACAAATGTGGGATATTGGGAATTTTATGGAGGGCATAAATGGAAAATTATTTTATCATATTTCAAATTAATTTTTTTTTTTTTTTGTTAACAATAGGGCCATTTGAAAATTGAGAAAAAATCCAAACCATATAACAAAATGGGAAAAAAAAAAAAGAGAAAAATAAAACCAAAAGAGAAATTTAAAAAAGCAAAAAAAAAAAAAGAGAAAAAATTTGAAAAAAAAAAAGAAAGTAAAAAAAATGATGATAAATGAGAGAAAAATGAAATAATAATGAGAGAGAAAAACGAGAATGAATATTCGGTACTAATAAATTAAGATATTTATAGTCTTTTTTTTTTGTAAAATATCAATTAAATTGCAATATTTTGATTTACGGATTAATTCTTGTTAATTTTAATGATTTTAAGATTTCACTAATAAAAATATAATTTATTTTAAAATTATTTCGAAATTTGTAATACTCTTTTAAAATAATATAAAATCTATTCTATTACAGTATATCAAATAACTAATTGAAATATATATATATATAATTGACAGATGATAATATTAAATTTTATATGTAATGTCAAGGGAAGTTATTAAAAGGGAATTCATTTTTGCAATTTCTCTAATGAGTTGTAAGTTACATATTAGTACCATTGGAGTATTATAGATTTTAGTTCCCACATTCACTTTCTGTCATTATATAGAAAACATAATTTTTTTCTTAATAAATAAATAAATAATTTTTTTTAGACGTTATAACTTCAATATCTAAAAAATATCAAAATATTTTATACTATAAATTATTTACGGAGAAAGAATATGAGGGATAAAAAATTTTATTGCTATTGTCGTATTTTAATTTTATATTAATTAAGAATAAAAAAAATGAGATTGAAGAGGGAGTAAACTTGAGAAATGAAAGATAAGTTATTTAATTTAATTTACAAAGATGATACGATAATATATATATATTTTTTATTATTATCGTTATAACATTTTTTTAAAAAAAAAATTTCAATAGAAATATACCTCCTGTAGTATTTCTATTTTTCTATTTAAATTTCTATATATGTATATATATACATATATTATTTCTAACTATTTCTTTAAAACATTTATCGTAATTTGTGATTTAAATTTATGATTTTAAATTTATATTAATTTTGCTAATTTATCTTTACTTTATTTTTATTTTATTTTTATTTGATTTTATATTTTTTTTTATTTAAAAATAATATTTAAGCGAAAACAAAAAAAGGGGGAGAAATCCCATGGAAAAACATCCATGGGAGAGGCTTACTCGCATGGGCACTGCACGTTGTGCACGAGCGACCAAGCACAGGACTTGCACACTGTTCACACGTTCCATCTACGCAGGGCGTGGGGTTGGTATGCGCGAGAGTCTTATGACACGCAGACAGGCCAGCCCACACTCATCACATCACGCGTGGACAGGGCAAGGTGTTGCGCACCCTGTGCACACGCCGTTCGTGTAGAAGGCCTGCGCGGATAAGCGTGCGGGTAGCGCCCTGCGCACTATAGGCTACTCCTGCGCGCGGCAAGGCATGCCGACGCTTGCGGGCTAAATCTACAGTGCACGGTCAGCCTGGTGAAGTGGACTGCCGCTTCTTGCAGTGTGCCGCCGCCCCTTTGGGTACTGTACATTGCCTTGGGTAGTCTGTCGTCGCCTTGGGTGAAGAGCCACCATCAGTGGAGGATTCTTCCTTCATTTTTTGCACTGCTATTATATCGCGTCAAATCGCTCATCTTCTACTCAACTTTCTCTGTCCTCACCGAATTTTGCCACTTGGCGCAAATCCAACGGTCCCCATTTTCTATAAATAAGGACCCTTTTCTTTCATTTCCTCATCACTCCCATTTTATTTTCCATCCTTCAAGAACTTAGAGAGAGAATGAGTGATCTAGAGAGAGAAGGAGACAAAAAGAAAAAGAAAGGTGTAGGAAAACTTTTAGATTTAGGTAAGGAATTCAATATTTCCTAAAACATCTTAAGGAGCATTTTTAGTAAATAAAAAATTATGAAGTTTATGTTTTGTGCTTTTATATTTTATATTTAATAGATCTAATAAAGTAATTTATTCTCGATTTCAAATATGTTATGTGATTTACAGACACTTAATGATTTGCATATAGATTAAATAACATGAATCTAGTGATAATTGTTTGAAAAATATATAAGAAAAAAAGAGAAGAGAATGAACCTGAAATGGCTTGAAAATATAAATGTATCTGTATTGACATGCATAATGCATAAAGTGTCTCAGTATGCTTTTTATCTATAAGGGATTTCTGTTTCTTTTAATATAAGTGTAACTGCCCTGGAAATTTAAATGAAATGTATGTATTAAAAATTTTAAATGCGGAAACGTAATAAAAAAATTTGATTAACATCCCTTACACAATAACTAAAACGTACTCAAAACATGAATGAACAAACTAACTGAAAGAAATATTCGAAATAAAAATTATAAATATAATTATGAAGTCTTTAGGCGTCCCCTTCGCCGTTTTCCTGCGGAACGGGCTCGAGAACAACGTTTTCCTGATCTGAAATGGTTAAATAAGGAATAAGCTACACCAGCCCAGTAAAGACATCACACTATCTCACTGCCACGGAAATAAAGGTGGGTAGAAAACAAAAATGACAAATTGAACATAATTTATAACAAACTCGTTTATTAACATAAAAACTTTTACTGTCCACTTACCTCGGTGAGATCCATGAAAACAACATATGAAAGCAATAACATTATCATCATCATGAAATCATATAAACTTTATAACATAACACTTACCATGCCTTTGCATTTCAATCATTAAACAATATATTTTCCTCTTTTACCAGCCTACTAGTATCCATGGGAATCCATAAGGGGTCACCGCTACCCGTGAACCATTAACATTACAACCTGATTCTAGGGCCGTCCCCATACCTCGTCCGGTATGGGAGCCAAAACCATGAACCTCAATACCCCGTCCGGTATGAGGGTGAAACGGGCCGTCTCCATACCCCGTTCGGTATGGGCGCCAAAACATATAAGATCTTCATATCTCGTCCGGTATGAGAGACCACGTTTCCGGTAGGGTTCCCTACAGACCCGGTCCGTCCACCATCTCCTAAGATATCTAGTCAGGCTGTCCACATTTTTCACTTATCAATTCACATAGCCTTTTTGCTTTTTTTTCTTAATCTCAATCATCCAATCATACACAACATGTAAACCAGTAATTGACATCAAACAAGATAACACAGTATCGGGTTCACTATAATACAAACCATAATAAAAGAAATCATGATTCATACATACGAGACCATAACATAATTACATCAAATATCATGCTGTATTTAATACTGAAAATTATATCAAACAATAACAGACAAACACTGTATCATACTCGGCCTCCATTGACAACCTCAATTAATTATACATCTATAAAGTCTCAAAATACCGTTTTATTATTTATTAAGCTTTAATACCGTGATAGGAAATAGGGTGAGGGGTCCTTACTTATTTCGGGGTCTGAAATCGACTCTACAGTGTGCCTACGGGCTGTCCCTAATTTCCCTGAATTTTTTTCGAAAAACTGAAACGCACTACCGGTACCTGCACGTGTCCTAAAAAATTCTAAATCAGATCTAGGGCCCCTTTCGGCCAATATTGAAATTCCGGCACGGCGGCTCCACCGTGCTCTAGCGACGATGATCCGCCTCGGGTTGGCCGTTTTTGGCCGAATTCGGCCAAACTTGCATCGGTCCCTGTGATAAAACAACCCTAGGGCCCTCGGGGGGCCAAAAAATCACGAAAAACCGAGACTTATCGGCGGCGGTGCTCTCGGGTGCGGCGGCTCCTCCGGCGTGAGTCGCGTTTTGATGTTTGGTTTTGATCAACCTGTAGAGAAAAGAACGGTGATCACAGCGGTATAAAATTTGCATCGAACGGAGGCCGAGAAGGGCCTCATCGGTGGTGAAAACAGAGGAGAGTCGCGGCGGCGCAGCCGGATTTCGGCTGGGGTGGTTATGCTTCGGTTTGGCCATAGGCGGACTCAGCATCGAAAAACGAGTCAGGGGGAGAAAATTTACCTCGATTGGCGGTCGAAAACCTCTCCGGTGCGGCGGCGGGTGGCGGCGGCCGGCTCCTCCGGCGTCTGGTTCTTCTTCTCTGGCGGGCACTGGCGGCTAGGGTTTTGTGGTAAGGTGTGGGTGGGGTTATTTATACTCTTTGCCTTTTAATCTCAACCGTCCATTAAGATTAAATCTGGACAGTCCGATCGCGATTTAATTGGGATTAAATATGGGTCGTCCATCGCGATGTAATCTGGGCCGTCCGTGCCTGATTGAATCTGGGCCGTCCGTACGCGTGAATCTGGGCCGTCCATGCGCACGTTTGATCTGAGTCGTCATTGCATGCGGGAACGGATCTGGGCCATCCGATCGCGCGCACGCGGATCGCCCATGTGACCCGTCCCGTGTCAGCGTTTTCTTGCCACGCGGCGTGTCCTGGTTGGCCGGAGCTGCTGATCGGACTGCTGACGTGGCACAACTTTTTAAAATTACGTTTTGACCACCAGTTTCCGATTTTCTTTTCAAAAACACCCCCAGAATCTAAATTTTCACCAATTTTTTTTCAAAATCAATTTCAATTAAATCCAAATAATATTTTTACCCAATTTTATCATCATTATTATTTTTATTTTTATTTTCAATAAATTAAATTAAATTAAATTAAAATCTAAAAAATTCAAATAAATAAAAATAAAAATAATAAGAATAAAAAAAACAAAAAAAAAAAAACACTTGGGTGTTACAATAAGTTAGTTATGTTAAGTCAATACCATGAGACCTACCACATAGTATTAACTTACCATCTGATGCTCACATATAAATCTTTTGTGTTAGTATTTATTTTAGTGCACTAACTTTCATATGTGAAGCAAATATCTCATCTACCACATAATAAATACTAATTCAAAATTTTTATCAACAAGTGAAAGAAATTGATGTGAGAGGAAGTATTGAGAATATTGAGAGTTCGGCTAGTGAGTTATGCGAGGAAGCTGGTCAAGAGTTGTTGCACGAGAAAACTTTAAGAGATTCATTACATGAGAAAGCTTCAGGTGATGCATTTTGTATGGAAGCTTGAGGGCACGTGTGTTGTGTGAGGAAGCTTGAAGGCACTTGCTTGAGGACGAGCAATGAAGCTTTAGGAAGCAGAATAGGGGGAAATCAAAGACATTTTGAACCTTTGGCACACGAGAAAGCCCGAAGAACTCATGCTTTTCTTTGTTCCTTAAATTCCTCTCTCCTTAATATTTGGAACGTGCATTTTTTTTATGAAAAACTCAAATTTTAAGGGGGTATAATTGGAGATACCATTATTTCTAGTACAGAAGTTCCTATAAAAATGAGAAATGTCCTACCTTTGAGTGCGGTTTGAACTATGATTTACGTAATTAGAAGTAACCAATTAGGTTTACGACGAAACCTAGAAATCGATCACTGATCCAATTTGAGTACCTCTACAAGATAGACCTCGATAGTGGAGGTTGAAGTGAAAAAAATATTTATATCAATTCAGAATGGCAACATCTGCTATTAACTTAAATTTATGTTAAATGAGAATGTTTATTAAAAGCTATTTTAAAAAAATATTAGGAGGAAAAGTAAACGTTGAGTTTATGCAAGTAAACTCCAACTTAAACCTTATCCAAACCCAAATCTTTTTCTCTTTACCAAACCCACCTCATTTGAATCTATGTAAATCCAGCTCAAAACCCTTCAAGAATTCAGCCCAGTTCTATTAAGCCCACTTAAATTACCCCAGCCCGGCCCATTAATTCCTGCTTCTTCGGCTCATGTATAAAGCCTGTCAGGCTGGTGAAACGGCACCGTTTTATCGAGGGCTGATGGCATTCGCACGATCGCATCCCCCTCACTGCTGTTCGATAGAAGCCGTAAACAGACTCCGCATTCTCTGATCTGCTTCCCGTGAAACATTTTCATCGAAGAAGAAAAAGTTAGGAAGAGAAATGGAGAAGCAGAAGCTGGCGTGAGCTGATTGACAGAGTAGGAGAGCACCGAAGCAGAGAAGAGATTGATAAGACATAGCAGAGTTTGATGCCTCCAGGTGCTCTCGTTGAGGCAAAGGGGAAGCTGCAGCGGCCGGAGGCGAGGCTCGGAGGATTAAAAAAGTAGAAGGAGGCGTTGTAGCAAATGGTGTATACGAGAAGAGAAGAGAAGAGAAAAAGGAATGAGGGCGCGGCCAGAAATCAGTGAAGAAAAGCAGAGAGAGGTCTAGAAGATTTGGGATTTTAGGGTTTTTCTAGAAGCTTTTGAGAGAGAGTGAGGGGAAAAGAAAGAATATTTAGTGAAGGTAAAGTTGTTTGGAGAGAGGGAATACTTCCCCTCATTCTCGACAAGAAACAGAGGGCAATTGGAAGCAGTGAGTCCAGAATCCCAAGGAGGAGAGCAGAAGAAAAGGGGGCTGAGACAGGAGGCAAGGCAGTCTCCGGAGGAGAGACTGAGTCAGAGAATCCTGAAGTGAAGCTTCAGGTTTCACTGCCTGCACAGGCTCCGGTTTTGTCTCCTTAGGTAATTACTTGTTAATACTAAGCCGGTTATTGAGATTTTCGGTAATGTGCCCTGACATGAGAATGTTTGATTGAAGTTTGTGTTGCCTTTGTGATTATCTAGGAAAAGTTGAATGAGCTTCAAGTGGGCATCACATTCTGGTTGTCTTTCTGTTTTAGATTATGAATCTTACGCAATTTGATTCTTGTGGATTAGTTGGATATTAATTAAAAGTTAAGGTTGTGAGATGGATTTTAGAAGGGCATCTGATAAAATTATAGGATTTATTTAAAAAAAAAAAATCTGATAAAGGCATAGGATATGCCCTTTAAAGAAATGACAGGAGGAATTGAAGAAGACAGAGGGTAATGATCTTGACAAAAATCATGAAATTGTAAAATGGGCTTTTGGCTCTACTGGTTTTCATATAGGTACCAGACTTTTGTGGTGTTTGTATCGCATGCTTTGCTGTGAATGCTTGGGATATATTCTTGACCAGTTATTCTCTTGTGACGTATGCATCTTTACCAATGAACTTACAAAAATGACAGTCAAGATCTTGTTATATCCCTTTGGATTCCATTTTACTGTTTGCTCCATGTATGTAAGTATTTAAAATCAAATATATTGAGACCCTCTTGGGCCATGCATGTTCACATTTCACTCAACAAGTAGTGAACACTGAGATACTGTAGTTTGAAGATTCTGCAGATGCTGTCTAGAGGCTTGAAATTTATGGTAATAACCTTCACTTGCTTGTGTGACTTGAATTGGATGAGTTATGCATTTTTCCTGTCAATGCTACATAGGGCTATCTACATGCATAGTTAATTGCTTCTCTTGTTCCTTGGGTCTTTACTGTGCAATCATGCATCAAACCCATAAAATGGAGAGGATTCTTATGATATGTTTGACCTGGATATTGGTGAATTAAAATATAGGATCAGGCTGTAACTTCAGAAAGGACAATGGGCTGGACTTTCGGGTTTGTACATGTTTAAAACAATCTCTGTTTGCCGCCTAATATGATTAAGTCCAGTCCATTATGGTTTCTGCTTTCATGAATGGGTCTATTACAGGCTGGTGCCTTGTCTTTCACAAACAATTTTTTTGAGGAAGATAACAGGAGAGTCCACGAAATTTGTTTTTCTTGAAAGGTTTGGCAGTAGAAAAGGAGCATGATGTGTTGGAGGCTTGTAAATGATTTGTTGAATGAGAGTGGGTACGTTGCTGTGATAATATTAGACCCACTGTTGGACAAATTTTTACCTGTATGTCTATTAAGAGCAGTCCACACTTCTCCTTTTTATGATCTTTTTTGGAAGTATTATCAAACCCATCAAAAGTCTAGGTTGATATTTGCCTTGGTCATGAATGATTGAACATTGCAGTGACTCTTTCGATCGTATTTTCAAGTCTTTCTCGTGCATATTTGAGACACTTGAGGGTCCTCACATATTCTGCTTGGGTCCAAGGTCTTTCTTTTCTAATCCATTATATTGCCTGTTTAGGTGTTCTTTTAGTTCTGAAATCAACTCTTACACAACCTGTTTTGATGCATCTTCACCTCTGTTGGACTCTCTGTTATACACTGTTTTGACACAAATTAATTCTTGAAAGCAACTCTTCATGTATGCCAACATTTGGAAATTTGAATTATCTTGGCAATCTTCTCTTTTTTTTTTTGGTGCCATTTGTATCCATCAGTACTGTATATTCTTTTGCCTTCTAGCAAGGATGTATATGGCAATGTTTTTCATGCAGATGACGATGATTTTTGTAATAGGATACTCATTAACTGAGCAAATTGCACTAAGGCGATGATGTCTGAGGGTGTAGTTTGACATGGTGATGAATCACCATAGGAAATTGTTTAAAGCCATATGTCACGTGGAAGACTTCCTATAATGGATCTGAAAATAGGGTATGATATTGAGCATACGATTTCTGCAAGTAGCATCGAGCACGAGTTGTGGCCACTTGAGGAAATTGATCCAAAAAAGGCAAAGTTTCCTTGTTGTTTAGTTTGGACTCCGCTACCAGTTGTGTCTTGGTTGGCCCCATTCATTGGACATGTTGGCATTTGCCGGGAGGATGGTGCAATTTTGGACTTTTCAGGATCTAATTTTGTAAATATTGATCAATTCAGTTTTGGTGCTGCGGCCATGTATGTTCCCCTTGATAGAAAACAGGTATAATGCCAAATTGTTATGATTAGGCAAACTCACTTTTAAGTTGAGAGCAAAGTCTTTTTCTTTGGTTGATATGTTATACACTATTTTTGAATGATATGGTGGTTGAAATGTTGAAACAGTGTTGCTTTCCTGCGAACCTAAGTGCACACACATGCAAGCAAGGATATGCTCATGCAGAATTTGGAAGTGCAATTACATGGGATGATTCGCTAGTAGCAAGCATGCGCCAGTTTGAGCACAGGAGCTATAATCTTTTCACTTGCAACAGCTACTCATTTGTTTCACAGTGCCTGAATCGGCTGAGTTATGGTGGATGCATGGGTTGGAACATGATCAATGTAGCAGCCCTTGTTGTGTTGAAGGGGCATTGGATTGATATCATGGCGGTAATAAGATCCTTCCTCCCATTCACATTGGTGCTCTGCCTGGGCATATTTTTGGTTGGTTGGCCATTCTTGATTGGCCTCTTTGCTTTCTGGCTCATGCTTATGTTGTGGTTTTTAGTGGCTACATATTGTTTCAAAGACCTACTTGAATGCTAGAAGCTCACTAATACATTCATGTTATGTACGAGTGTTGTTCTTCAACACCATCAATCTTTGGCAATGGATTCACTTCAACATGCTAGAATAGCTCAACTGTTGGAACATCATGATTAAAATGAACCTTGGCGTGTGAAATAAAATTTTAATTTATTATTAACTCAGTAGCCTTTTTTTTTTAGCAAAATTCTGTTAGTTTGCCTGAGTGACTTTATATTTTACAATAGAAAAAGGATAATAAAGATTACACCTTCAACCACGAAGGATAGTACCATAGTTGCAAGCTGGTAATGTAAATTCCTCTTTTCAAGGTTCCCTAATTGGAGCATGGAAATATCATAGCAAGTGACGATTGGCCAGCATTCTTATTCGTCTACCAAAGTAGATAAAATTAAATGAACTTGCATTGTTCTTCCTTATTGAGTATTGAATTCTATGCTCCATACTTGGGGGCCTTCCAAAGCTTGAATGCTACTTCATGCAGAAACCTATCAACTGGTATTGCAAGGTTTCCCCCATGCTGCATGGACAAGAAAAGCGCATTAGAGTACAGTGAAGAATTAAATGCCTGAAAAATAAATCAGTAATTTGAGGGCCTAAGTAAATTTATTCTCGCAAAATATAAATGATTGATTCAGGTTTGGCATGTGCTCAACCAATTCATGACAAATAGGAAAGTATGATTCTTTCTGGTCTGTGTTCATAAAATTCATATAACTTTTACACTCTACACATAATTGTAAGTTTGGATCATTTGCACATCAGCAGAAACATATTGTGAAGCAGCGACTAATGCTAGCTCTCCCTTATCTTTCCAGTCAGTCAACATAACAGACGAAAGATGTACATGGCATGCAGGCAGTAAATACAATTAAAACAAACATAATCATAAATCTAAATCATAAATCTAACATGAAAACTTACACATCTTATGTATTTTAGGTTTAGATTTGAATTTAAATTCTCTACTTCACGTCACTCACTGCAAGCATGCTACAGAAAATTGCCACTAAAAATATAATCGTTTAACTGGCGATAAAACCAGAAATATAAACTAACTCATAACTTTAAATAATACCTCTTTAAAATCTTTGAAAGAAAATGTCTCTGCCAGATCCTTCCGAGTTACACCATACTGCCATTGAGCCATTAACATTGGGTAACAGTGCCTGCGTTTGGAAGAAAAAACATTTAGAGGCCATTAGGAATTTCATTAGCAGGAATCTAGTGAAAGCTATTCTTACCTAACATCATCCCGTTGCTTTTCTCCTTTCATGGTGAAGCTTTGACGAGGGAAAAGTGCTGAAAAATCAGAATTTCTCTTGTCATCAGAAACCAAAACTGAGAAATCCAGATTATCAGCATCAGATACGGAACCATAGCTCATTATAACAGACAAGTGTAATCGAGGACCAATTTCTGATCCAGGTTGAGCCACATGCATTATATGGCCAACCAAGGAATTGATATATCCCATGTAACTGTTAATAGTCCTGCCTTTTTCACCATTGTCCTCTTCACCTGCCCCGATGTGAACAAATACCAAATCAAAGAGGCCCATCTCTAGCTTTTTCCCTTCTTGGAATCCAAGTAATTTCAGCAACTCAGAGGCCACGGCATCAACTGGTAAGTCAAGAAGAGAATGACCACTTTCAAGTAACTCACTTGGTTGGAAGACAGTTAAACCAAGTTGCCCAGCAAAAGACTTCAAACTTGACTTGGTTGTAATGAGAGCAGCTTTCATTCCCATAAACCTGAAGTCAGATCATTTTACTTTTCCTTCTTAAAAAATGGTGGGCAACATAATTGACAACTAAATTAAGCACTTAATTTAGTTTATGTTTAGAACAAACGAATTCCACCCAAAAATGTGAAGTTTGGTTGCAAATCCTCATTTGGAAATGAATTTCAAACTTCTTAAAGTCATTTGTTGCAAGCCTCATTTAGAAATGAACTCCAAACTTCTTAATAGTCATTTGTTGCAAATCCTCATTTGGAAATGAATTTCAAACTTCTTAAAGTCATTTGTCCCAAGCATAACTTTAGATATTAATAATAAAGATTAGGCGACTACAACAGTACCTCTCAGATATGGTTGTAATTAAGGATGAACTTTGACATTCTGCTTTAGCATTAATTTCTCCACTCTAGCAAAGTCAAGAGCAAGAATTGTCAGAAATAAATCATAGAATCATGCATTTGTATTCATAAAAGATGTGTCTCTAACCGTTTTGGAGATATAAGCTTCAGCTGCATCCAACAGGTATGCAAACTCTCTAATAATCCTATCATCTTCGCATTCTGCAATCTAAAGCCAAGTAAATCCCCACAATAATAGATGGAATAATCATCAAGAATTCAGGGGTATAGGTTGTCAAAGCAATTAAAAATGGCGAAAGTGAAAACTAAGAGAAAATAAAGTCTCTTGTCACAAACGTTCTACGAAAAATTGTGAATACATATTTCAATCAAACCCAGGATAAGAAGAAGACCCAACAAACAATTTTCATGGGAACAGTTTATTTGCGCCATTAAAAATTTGTATGGATCCATGAGATTAGCATCTTTGAGTGACAAAACAGATGAGGCACCCAGGAAGAAGATAGCTTTGGGCTAGTGAATGATATATCCTATCTATGAGCATTTTATAACATGAAAAATACTTTGATCTCAGTTGCCGTATTACATTTGATGATACCCCAGAGACAAAACAATCTACCTTAGAATCTTGTAGGCACTGCAAAATGCTCCAAGTGCAGAAACGAGAGTTAGGGTTCATAAACTAGCATACAGTGTTTTCAAATGAGTCTCCACTTCACTCAATTGTCATGCTCCACATCCTTCATCCCACTTACAGGTAGGAAAAAGAAGAAAAGAAGGAAATGAAATTCAATCTACAGAACAAGTCTACTAATTACGTGGTGGGGTTGATTAAATTGTTTATATACGTAATTAGCATTTTCAGATCAGGAGTTTAGAGGGTAAGTACTGAAGAAGAGAGAAGGAAGCAGACCTGAGGAAGGAGCATTGGGAAGGGTTAAGAAGCCACAGTTAGCTTTGGAGGCGAGAGAATGGAGATGGGTGTGCGATGGGTCTATAAAACGAGCCAAACCGTCTGCGTACAAAACCAATCCTCGGCTTGGTTTGTCAGCCATTGTTGTACCAGGATTCCCTCGCAGCACAGAGAGAGAGAGAGAGAGGAATCGATGACGGGCTGATAAGGAGTGTAAAATATTAGAAACTCGGGAGGAATAGCTGTTTAGGATTTCAAGGTAGGAAACACGCACTCTTTACCAGATTACTCTTACTGTGTTTGTGTTTGTGTTTGTGTTTTTCCTTTATAGGATTTTCTTTTATGTTTTATTTTTTGTGTATATGTATATATATATATATATATATATATTAGATTTATTTCTTTACCTTATGTTATGCATTTGTTTCAAATGCTTATTTTTCATCTAAATAATAATTAGCTAAGCCTTAAATTACTTGGTAGGATAAGTAAAATTAATTTTGGTTTTTAATTTACTAATTTTCTAATTTAATTAATTAAAATTAATACCTTAAACTATTTTTTAAATTGTTGAAAATATAAGATAATTATTTAATTTTTTTTATTAAAAAATTTAAATGTTTAATATATATAAAAAAACATAAAAAATATAAGATATCAAACTTGTTAGAAGTATGTTTTATTATAATTATCACATATTACGGATTAAGAGACATGGAGAACTGCTAAAATTAAAGTCTATTTAAAGCTCTTTAGCTAAGTCAATAAATAAAATTATAGTGTTCATCATAAGTTATACAAACTTATATATATACACATATACATGTTATAGTAAACTAAGTGGTGTATGTTACAATCACATATTATTGTTGTATATATAGAGGTTTGAGTCATGGTTGGGAGGTTATTAAAGTGAAGGTTCACCGCAGAAAGCGTCTGGCTCAAAGGCTCTGGCAGATTCTTCACTATAGACTCCACGAATAACTCTCTCTTCCACTTCTACCTTTTGACTTCCATCAACATTGAAGAGAAGAACAAGACACAGAAACAGTGTTGCCGCTAGACTCACTAGACTGTACTTGAGTCTGCTCAGCACAGGCTTCACCTGCAACATACAAAAATGGACTCCCATTATTATAAGCACCTTCTTTGTTTGTTTACACGCGAATATTATACACATTGCCTCACTGAAAATGAACCCAGAAGACGATCGCGTGCCAAAATTTCTGCAGGCTTTACCCAGATCTGTTAATGAAATTCAATCCAACAATTTAACATCTCTTTGAAAGGAAAAGGAAATTCAAAGGAAAAAGAATAGAGAATTTGTAATCAGATAGATATACCTGACCATCATACCATCCCGTCTCTTCATCTGAATCGGAAAACGTCAATCAACTCTCAAGTAAATGTGAAATTGTTATTAAGAGAAATGAAAAACAAGGAACAGAAGATTTACACTCAACAGTGGCACTCAGCAAACGATTACCAACATAAGCCCAACCCAGATACATCCTCACGACGGCAAGAATCACGACGAAGATCCCACTTGAAATAGCAGTAAGAATTTTTTTCGAAGGGTCGGAGTCATATCCGACGGAGCCGAACCAGGCAACGGGCAACCCGACAAAAAGAGCGAAAGAAGCACCGGTGACTAGTAACCCGGAGGAGTACTCAACTAGGTCACCGGCGGCCCAGGAGAAAGGGAAAGAGGTTGAGAGGGACTGGTACTCGTTTATGGGTTGCTGCTCCGTTGGTACAGGACAGTCTAGTTCCGGCAACCCATTTCCATTTTTGTACGACCATGCCAAATGAATTCTGGGAATTGAGGTTTTACCATTTAGGAAGGATTTCTGGTGGGTCTGTGTTAGTATCAATCTGGGCGTATATGAGAGCTGAACCAGCACCACAGCCATGCCTGTATTCTTGCTTTATCCAGATTCTTGCGTGTGATTGGGATGCAACTTTTTCTTTAAAATTTTATTTTTTTCTTTGGAAAAACAAACATCAAATTTTTCTACTTGTTATAGGGAGCCCAACGATCGATCATCCTTGATTTGATACAGAGTTGCGATAATTGACGGCCAGGATCAGTTGGTTAGGTCCAGGTAACTAACAGCACCATATAAGAACTCCGTATTTAATTTCTTCTTATGGATAAACTCTTTTTTTTTTTTTTTTGAAATAATATTTTTCATGTTTCAATTAAGTATCAGATCATCAGGTGATTCAAGTAGCATACAAGCATCGGTGCACTTCTATCAAGTCATCTGCCGATTCATGTAACAACATATCGGCAGTGATTTCATTGACGAGAAACAAAAATGTTGT